ACCCAGAGACAGACAGGCGCCAGACCAAACACCCTTAACCCGCCCGCCAGACAGAGAATTTATACAACAAACAATACATAAACTGCGAAAAAACTCAGCACCGGGAATAGACCTACTTCAAAACGAACTACTAAAGAAGGCCCCGGAGGAAATTTACTATAGGTACACTCACGATACTTTTAACAAAAATTTGGACAACGAACGTTGTACCCGGCGAATGGCTCAAAACTAAACAAATTCCAATTCCTAAGATTTGCAGAGCGACAAATACCGAGGATTATAGGAAAATAACGCTGTGTAGTGTAGGCTACAAAATCTACGCTGCTACCTGCTAAAAATACTTGATGAATTATTAGAGCCCATCCCCTATCAGGCAGGATTTATCGCAAACAGGTCAACTCAGGACCATATCTTTAGTGTTAGGCGAATTATGGAAGAAATGTGGCGTAAAGGAAAAAAGATATTCATAGTAACCTTAGACATAGAAAAAGCATTCGACAAGATCACACACGCAGTGGCTAATTGACAGAATCGAAACGGCCTGCCTAGCAGAGTTCACGTGTGTGCAATGGTTCGGGCAAACGACAAAACTCTATCGTAAGCAGAGAGGCGTAAAACAGGGCTGCCCCATTTCACCTAGGCTATTCACGCTGGCGTTACACAGAATACTATTAAAAACGACAGTAGAAATCCCCGAACTCCAACTGGCCACAGAACTCACCGACCTTACACTTACCACCTTATTCGCTTTTGCGGACGACCTCCTATACATCGCCAACAACGTAGGGGAAATAGAAAGATTTATCGACGTGCTAACAGAACACATGTCAACAATAGGCCTAAAACTAAACGCAGGAAAAAGCAAAATACTAATTCGTAACCCCAAACACCCGAACAGGCTACACAAAGTTGGCTCCTTTAAAATCGGCCCATACACACTACAGCTCGACAATAGCCTCAAATATCTAGGAGCCGTCATTACCAGCACCCTTAACCGCCAAGAAACGACTAAACTACGTATTACCGCGGCCTTACGCTCGGCCCACATGATAAACTCCTTCGCGAAGAAATACAACCTCCCGTGGCCTCTCCGGAAGCTAATCTACACAACGGTAATCGTACCAGCGGCAACATACGGCCTAAACACCTGCGCGCTAACTAAAGCAAACAGACAAAAATTACGCAAACTTGAACGGAAGATCATTACACTACTAACGACAGACTTACCCGACTACCATCTCCAACATCCCCGCGACCTGCTAATGGGAAAAACAATTACCAAAAGGGTAAGAGTAGCCCAATTAAAATACTGGGCCCACGTCACTCGTAGACAACGCAACAACATACTACAAGCCACCCTTAAACTAGATCTTACAGACAAAAAAGTCGGGAGACCATGCTTCACATTTCATGACACGTTAGCACAAAACATGCACTTCTCACAAATTAACAAGACCAGTTGGGAGCAACTAAGCGACAATAAAAACAAAATAAAAAAAAACAACTGAAACACTTTACCAAGTGCAGGAACTATCTGACACGGACAATGACAATAATGAACAAGACGAAGACCTCGACTAGGAAACTACACCCCTGCAGCGTAATAACAACTCCCCAAATAGTAATCCCAAATGTTTGGAGTAATACTAATCGACTGGTCTAGGGGGATTCCGCGTCGTACTTAGTTTTAAGTCGGCGTAATTGTCCCCCAAAAACCACCTCCCGTCCCTCAGTACGGAACGCAATGGACATTCGCACCCAGCAAACACGGGTGAAGTCGTGCAGTTGCTTGGGAAGAACAAAAATCGGCGTAAGTAAAACATAGGCCTGTACGGGGTTCGAGAGTCAAGAGGAAATGGGGCTGGTTATACGTCTCTTATACTCATACTCATAAAGTTTATTTAGTTTTTATATTACATACACATAATATAATATTATATAAACAAAACAAAAAGTACCTATTATACTCCGTCCAAGTAGTATGTATGAGGCGTGTTAAGTTAATAAAATGTTTAATACTTCATTTTTATTTTATTTTTTTAAACTATGTAATAAAGGAAAGAATACAGTTGTTTCTTTATATTCTATAGCGACCACTTTACTCTTAATTTCAGAGATTGAATATAAATTTGAATGATTATATTCTACTCGGTTTGATTTAAAAATGTTTAAATAAGAAGATTTTATAGGCATATCAAAAACATCATCCATGTCTTTTACAGGAGAACCACAGAGAAGTGGCCTTCCGTTATTATTTAATAATGCATAATGGAAAGTAACAATATTATTGTTCTGAGTTAAAAACCACTTATCTAGGAAATCCGAAGACAACAAAAATTCGTCAAGCTCTATTTTTTAAAAATATCCTGTGCCATTATTATTTTTTAATTTGGGAAAGCTTTTTAAACATACGGACTTATTTGCTTTTACGAGAGCATTTTCTAATTTCATAATTTCACTCATCCTTTTGGCGACTTGTGAGGTAAGTTACCATTTCTTAATAATTTTTTTATTTGGTACAGTTGCTTTTCAAACGGATAAGCATTAAAAGATGACAAAGTACAAAACTTTTTAACTTCTTCGACCAAATGTGTCAAATTATGTACGTTGCTGGTAATGTAGTCTTTTCCATAAAAGTCTCTATAGTATTCTACATAATTATTGAGTAAAGTTAAATCAAGAAAATGCTTGTATGAATTTAATGAGCATATAGTTACCCAACAAAATAAAAGTAGAAAATGTAGGTATACTTCGGGGGCCAACACATTCTTAAGTATTACTATTCCTAAATAAAATAAAAATGTGCGATATTCTGTACCTTTCCAGTGACACAAAACATCCAAACCACGCACAGATCTATAAAACTCGCAAGGCATTTTACATTTTTCCAAAAATTTTGAGACTGTATCTATATCTCTGGCGCACCATTTTGTTTTATAACTGCCAAAGCTGCCATCCCTCCAGCCTAACAAACATTTCTTCATAATACCTAAATCCAATAAATGTGTCCCCTACAGGAACGTCTTCAATCATATCTATGGGCAGAAGAAGTAAAGGTGAATCCTGTTTATGATGTGATCCATATTGTTTGGTATCCGGAATTTTGTTCGAAAGAAAATTATTCGAAGGAAATTTGTTCGAAAAAATTTGATCGAATGGAAATTTGTTCGAAAGAAATTTGTTCAAAGATTGTTTAATTTAAGCTCATTTAATAAAATAAAAACAATTGTAATCCTTTTTGAAAAGATATTCTATTCGCAAGGTAATTTATTATTCAAAATATTAAAATAATTTTAATCCTTTTCGGAAGGTATTGTATTGCAAGGTAATTTATTATTAAAAATATTAAAATAATTGTAATCCTTATTTACCTCTGCATGTACCTAAATTAGTATAAATTCCCTTACAACAATTGACAGCCTTAATTTATTATTCAAAATATTAAAATAATTTTAATCCTTTTCGGAAGGTATTGTATTGCAAGGTAATTTATTATTAAAAGTTAGTGAAGACAGAATTTATTGGAAGTGTGAACATTTAAAAAAAAAATCCTGTAAAGGACGTGCAATTACATCAGGTGAAACAGTCATCAAAGAAAATAACTTGCATAATCATTCAGGAGATGGAGCAGGTATTGAGGCCAGAATTGTATATGGATCCATGAAGCAAGAAGCAGAAACCGGCCGTGATCCGCCTCATTACATTATTTCTAATATTTCTACTCAATTGAGTCGAGCCGCTGCCACTCAACTCACTCAGTGTTGAAACAATGAAGAGAACGATACGAAATGTAAGGAACAAGATAGAAGCTGGCCCTGTTACTCCAAGACACCGAGCCGATATTACTTTTTCCGATGAATACAAGCAGACAAGCAGTGGTGAAAACTTCCTGTTGTACGATTCTGGAATGACACCCGACAGGATTTTAATTTTTGGCACCCGAAAAAATCTGGAACTTCTCGAGTCTTCCCTACACTGGTATGCTGACGGAACATTTAAAACAGTGCCAACACAGTTCGCGCAACTGTACACTGTACATGGATTTAGCGATTGCATTGCAATTCCATTATTATATGCATTGTTGCCCAATAAAACAGAAACAACGTACCGGGAACTTTTACGTGCTATTAAGGAATTAAATCCAAATGTTAACCCATTATCTGTAATGATTGACTTTGAGAGTGCGATGATTGCAGCTTTATCCGTTGAATTTCCTAATACAGTTATAAGGGGGTGTTTTTTCCATTTTTGTCAATGTATATATAGGCAAATTCAATCTTCAGGACTTAAGCAAACATATGACACTGATGCAAATTTTGCATTAAAAATGAGGATGTTAACAGCACTGGCATTTGTCCCTACTGAGCAAGTGAAAACAGCCTTTGAAATGCTTCAAGACAACGAAGTATTGCCAATGGAAGCCCAGCAGGTTGTTGATTACTTCGAGGACAATTGGATTGGACGTACGCTTCGCCGACAACAACGCCGTGCACCACGATTTCCGATTGCGTTGTGGAATTGTTTCCAGTCGGTAACCGAAAATCTCCCGAAGACAAATAATGCTCTGGAAGGATGGCATCGCGGTTTCCAGGCACAGATTGGAGCAGAGCATCCGACAGTTTGGAAGTTCATTACCGCCTTAAAACGAGAACAATCTATTAATGAACTTCGCATTGAACAGGCTATAGCTGGTCGAGCAATTGAAAATAAAAAAAAATATATAAAGATGCTGCTGCAAGACTTCTAAATGTTATAAATAATTATAACCCTCAAGGCGATATCCTAGCATATTTAAGAGGTGTTGCTCACAACATTTCGTACTAATTTATTATATATTTGAACTTTTCTAGTGGTTAATAAAATATTTTTCTCTCGATATTTTGGCTTTCTTTCGAACAAATTTCCGTCGAACAAATTTCTTTCGAATACATTTCTTTCGAACAAATTTCCTTCGAACAAATTGTTTAGCACGAACATTTTCATTTGTTCTTCTCTTGCAGCCGGCTCTAGGAAAAAACACAGTATGTGAAATATGCGAGTATTCGCCGATGGTGGTACATTTTAAACACCCGTGCTTACTGTTAAAATTTGTAACACCTGCAAAAACAAGGTATGTTAAAGTACCTATTCTTTGAATTATTAGAAAAAGTTTTGAAGTCATAAATATATTTTAATTTACCTTTAATGAACGCTCTGGCTGGTGAATCGCATACAAAACATCTTAGCTTCACATCAATTCTAACTTCATTCATCAGGAGTCCTTCCGAAAAGATTTTTTGGGCTTCACTAACAAAAGGTTGCAAAAATGCCGATAAACTGGACGGTTTTCCTGAACCACAGTATGCCGATGACCATAGGTTCAGGTAATTCATAAATGTTAAAAAGTATCGGCCAAAATTCCATTTTACTGCTTTTGTAAATAAGAAAGCTATCCACATTTATATTCGACTAACAGTTTTGGGCAAGTTTACCATTTGTGACAAGACTTGTCTCAAACAAGCCTAAGGTAAGTCCTAAAAGCTTTCTTGGATCTCCAGGAAGAATATCCGGTAAAGGCTTGTTAAAACTTTTAAACAAATCCCTCAACCCCGAATGTGAGATATTTTTGTTAAGATTTTGAAGCTCTATTAGCGAGTTGTTTCTTTTTATTATATCTTCATCATATTCTTGCCTTTCTCAAAATTTATTTTATTTTTTTCTTCCTCACTTACTGTGGCACTCCCTGTTTGTAATACTGTCCCAGATACTATCACCTCCTGGAAATCACTTGTAGCAGTGTTAGAATTATTTACGGAAATACTATCGCGTAATAAGCTTTCGTAACTTTTTTTCGAAACGCTCCACTTTTCTTTACTTGTTTCCATTTACTGAAAGACATTATTACTCTTAGCAATTTATTTATTTATTTATTGAATTTCTGCTTCTACCTCAAAGGGTCATTAGCAGGTGTTAACATAAGACATAGACATTAGTATTACATGATAAATATAATATATATATATATATATTAGGGTGTGCCAAAAAAACTTGAAATACTTTTTTTCTTGCTCTCCACCCAAAATATCGTAGAATATGTCCGAACAAATATTCTGTTAAAAACGGAGCTCATAATTTCAATTTTAAGAGGTCCCTCATCGAATCTGAAGTTTTGCCGCTTAAATAGCACAGAAAACTGACCTTTTTACCTTATTTATTCTTGCAACCTAGGAAGAAAATTTTTTTTTTATAAAATCCATGACCAAATCTTACAAAGCATTAAACTTGGACGAAAAAATCTTATTAAGCCGAATTTCTATTTTCATTATTTAATTTTTTACAGAGCTTTAAATTTAAAATTTTACGTTTTTTGCCTTTTTCAGCTAAACTATTGAAGTTAGACGAAAAAGTCAAATGGTAATTTTTTGGCTTGTCTGATGGACCACAAAAATGTTTTAGGCGAATTTTTTATATCGTCAATATTCTAAAAGTTACAGGCGTATAAAGTCATCATTTTTGTATTATTATCTTTAAATTTAAAGCTATGTAAAAAATTAAATAATGAAAATAGAAATTCGGCTTAATAAGATTTTTTTGTCCAAATTTAATGCTTTGTAAGAATTAGCCATGGATTTTACGAAAAAAAAAATCTTCCTAGGTTGCAAGAATAAATAAGGTAAAAAAGTCAGTTTTCTGTGTTATTTAAGCGGCAAAACTTCAGATTCGATGAGGGACCTCTTAAAATTGAAATTATGAGCTCCGCTTTTAACAGAATATTTGTTCGGACATATTCTACGATATTTTGGGTGGAGAGCAAGAAAAAAAAAATATCGAGTTTTTTTGGCACACCCTAATATATATATATATTAGACTGGTTCAAAAAAATCGAATATTTTTTTTTCTTCAAAGCCCGCATTGAAATATCTTCCTAGTAGTGAAAAAAGAAGCCTGTGAAAATTGTAGCTCTTAATATTAATATTTAGAGGTCGCTCATCCTGAATTTCTATTTTACGTTTAAATAACACAGGAATTCTTTTTTCTTAACTTTGAAATTTTATAACTCGTTTTTGAGTGAACATATTGGAATGAACTCTATATATTTTTAAAGAAAATTGAACGTTCTACAAAAAATGTCTCCTATAATTTTTTCGTAAATTCACTCCTTTAATAGTTATTCAAGGTTGAAATTAGACATATAATAAATGTAACGTTTAAATAACACAGGAATTTTTTTTTTTACTTTTAATTTTATAACTTTTTTTTTGAGTGGACATATTGGAATAATTTCAACCTTGAAAAACTATTAAAGGAGTGAATTTACGAAAAAATTATAAGAGACATTTTTTGTAGAACGTTCAATTTTCTTCAAAAATATATAGAGTTCATTCCAATACGTTCACTCAAAAATGAGTTATAAAATTTCAAAGTTAAGAAAAAATAATTCCTGTGTTATTTAAACGTAAAATAGAAATTCACGATGAGCGACCTCTAAATATTAATATTAAGAGCTACAATTTTCACAGGCTTCTTTTTTTACTATTAGGAAGATATTTTAATGCGGGCTTTGAAGAAAAAAAAATATTCGATTTTTTTGAACCAGTCTAATATATATATTATATACTAAATTTTGTTTAGTATATTTAGAAGGCGCAAGTAAGTAAGTGTTGAGTTTGGGTTGGTTTGAGTAATTCATACTTACATTTCATTAATTTTGTTGTTAATTGTATTTCAATCACTTAATTAAATTTTAATCAATATTTATACAACTTGAAAGTTAGCTAAATAATTACATAATTATTATCAAGAGTTAACAAGCTGTTTTCCAACTGGTATACAACTGGGCCTTAGTGTACCAATTTAATCTCAACTTATAAATTTGAAAATTTACCATCAGCTGGTATGGAAACACGCATGCGCACAAACCTGATGTACGTTTAATGCCAGTACTCCCGGTGTACTTCTAATCACGGCGAAAATAAATACCTTTCTAAAAATGTTTTATTTTACCATATTTTGTTGTAACATTATATAAATAACAAGTGCTTGTAAATCTAATTTTTATTTGTAGTATTTCTTTTCTAAAAACAAAATTCAGTTTTTCAATTTTACATTTCTATCGTAAATTAGTGTTGCGCATACTGCCTAGTCAATGTGAGAAGTAAAAACCTTTAATCCCCAGATTGACTATCGCATCAGACATTTTGCAAATTGCCTAAAATAGCGTAGTAAATTTGCAGATTGCCCAAGATGATAGTGATTTTGCACAATGTCTGGTAAATTGGTCAGTTTGCAGAGTATCTAGACATTTAGCACATTGTCAGATTTTTCACATTTCCGGTAACATATATACTCTATAGAGGTGCTCTCTTTAAGTTCGATAACAGCTTCCATATTTGTAATTTGTTATCTGCAGCATAATTGTCACTTGGCAATCCCTTACACAATAGTTCTATAAAGAAACTATAAGCGACATTATGGAATAATTCTAGAGTTACAAAGAGGATGGTATAATTCTGTAAGGCACTCTTTTGCATCGGTTTTACAATAATTTGATTCTATAAGCACTATTGCTGTAAAATTGTGGTACTGTGCACCCTTATAGAGTAAAATTAGCACTGATTTTATAAATGCTCTATAACTATGCTCTAAGAACGTTCTTGCAATAAATTTAAAAAACAATTCGTTTTCTGAAAACAAATAGTCTCATGTGTTACATTAATGCAATAATTCAGTATTCTAGATACAACTATAAAACATTAATAGGATATAAAAGTTCTATTACTCCAAATTTATAGAAAAACTTTGCTAGCTGGGAGGTAATCTAACTTAATTTAATAAATTTTTGTTCTCAAATTCTACAATTTTCGCATTTTTCTCAAATGCGCTCACCCATTTTATCCAGATACAGTAGTTTTATTTTACTAAAATAATAAAAATGTTGTTAAAAAATATATGTATATGTTTTAATTTAAATACATATTAAATTATATGTTGATATATCAAATGATTTAAAATTATTTAAACAAATTCTCACTTTTTAATAAAAACAATTTCGAAGTCAGGTTTTAAGAAATCTTTGGTAATGGTATTTATTTGAACAATAATATACTTTTATGAGGTAAAAATATAAATTAACAGGTATTCTGCATTCAACAATACAAATATTTTAAAGAAATTGTATGAAATATTAATAAAAAATTGATCCACACGTCTGTAGCTTTTTTAAAATTAGAAGCCCAAACATATTCAAGTATATTTACAAGAAGACATCGAAATTGTTTTTATTAAAAAGTGAGTACATATTTGTTTAAATAATTTTAAATCATACGTTATATCCACATATATTTTAAGGTGCATTTAAATTAAAACATATACATATATTTTTTAACAATATTTTTATTATTTTAGTAAAATAAAACTACTGTATCTGGATAAAATGGGTGAGCGCACGAACACTGCATTTGAGAAAAATGCAAAAATTGAAGAATATGAGAACAAAAATTTATTAAATGAAGTGAGATTACCTCTTACATTATAGACCAGCCGCTTCTAAATTATTGGAATAAACCCTTATAATGATTTTTCTATTACAGTAAAGTTATGTAAACAAAGCAAAGAATATGAGGCACTTACTTTTAGCTGTACTGCATTTAATGAAGTTATTAGCAATATACCAGATATTTTGGATAGCAATAAGAAGCGAGATAAATATGATGTCTCATCCCATTTCATTACAATTTCAGCAAACAGGACCTTGGTGAAAATCAGGAAAAAACGATATTTTCCAAAAAGCTACTCAAAATAAGATCATTCCATGAATATATAACCGAAGAATATAAAAAACTACGCCTGTCAGAGACGTTTAATTCGATTGTGCAAGATCTTATTGTGAAAATGTTACGTGATGACCAGCACTATTATGATAATAATATGTTTAAATGTTTTATAGAAGGTTACCCAAGATAGAATAATTACATAATTTGGTTAGAATTACTGAATAAATTTGATTATTTTGTATATAGTAATACCTATAGATCGTAAATTTATTGTTACTTTAAATGCAAATAGATTTTATGTTTAATTATAGCTGTTTTCTAAATAAAAAGTATTAAAGTTTCAGAACTTGTTTAATTATATCCTATAGGTAAATACTTACTAATCTCAGTATTTTTTTATTTTTATTTATTTTATTTTAATATTAGCCTTCAACAGGCACCAGGCCCAATTACAGAAGTACACAATGACAAACACAAATAAATAGCCATACCCCTGGTGGGATTCGAACCCACGACCTCTCGGCTTGTAGTCCGCAGTGCTAACTACTACACCACCGAGGGCGGTGGTTCTTCTATGGTAGGTAGAAAAAAGTATACAAGATAAAATGTGTCAAAATCTTTAATTATATTTAAGAAAAATAATTAAAAAATAAAAAAATAAATTGATTTTCATATAATACATAAATATAACTTAAAAAAAAACATAACATAAATATAAAACAGTTCATATAAGCGCATTGTTGGACTCCGTATCATCGACTCCGCTGTCATCGTCTGCTGTATCGCTATCGCTAGCGTCTGAGATTTCCCCGGCCTCTATACTCGGATAATGGCACATACTCGTGCGAACAACATGGAATAGAACTCGACGATTGCAGAAATTGCACTAGTTTTCGTGCCATAAATATAGGTTTAAAACCTCGTCAAATTCTAAGCAGTGCTTTGTTGTATTCGTACAAGTTAAAATTTTTCAGAGCATAGGTGTCACCCCAGCAACTGTCGCACATATGCCCATAAGTGGTCGAATAAAATTTGTTTATTATACAATAATATTCGCTGTATGGAATGAATAATTCGATTATGGGGCGAATAGCATGCATGCTAAACCTACGGCCACATAACAGCTCCACCGCTTTTTTGGTCCATTTCGAGTCAATACACATGTTTTTCAGATCTCGTATTCGTACTATTAAATTATCGATTTCATGACCCGTTATAAAATCGACAATTCTGTTTTAGGGCACTTCACCAGAATAACAGGTAGTTGTCCACAAACTATTTCTGCTAAAGTTAAAGTTGAATTCGCTACTTGTCTGCAGAGAACTTCGAGTGATTTTGGTGTACACGCGTTACCCACTTTTTCACTATACTTTGGCGAATCCATAATAATTTCTTCCCATACTCTGTCCATGATGTTTTATTCTAAGGAACAATTTAAAAAAGGCACTTTATATTCACGTTGAATATAAGCAATAATTTCGGAAAGTTTTCTAAAAACTTATTTATACCTAAAATCAGCCCTACCCAAAAATTGCAACCACGTAGATTTTACACCAAAAGCTTTAATTTGCCCCTTCCAAACAAATTATACTCGATAATCTATGGTAATGGTATTTATTTCAACAATAATATACTTTTATGAGGTAAAAATATAAATTAACAGGTATTCTGCATTCAATAATACAAAGAATAAAGTATTCTAAGAGGGTTTGTAAATCGGACTATTGGGAGGGAGGGTCGTCAGAACGCCTCGTATTGTATGGTATCGAAAAAATCATTTGGTGCATCTATACAGTATACCGAAAGCTCTTCGTAGTAGTACTACTTATAAAATGTGTTTTTGACTAGTGCAGTGATGGCATCCCAACAATATCATTCTGAAGAACGAATACGAACATTCCACGTTTTAATTTAACATCAAGGAGAATGATATTCAAATTTAAAGATTTCGATTCCGATAATCAGAGTCCGCTTAATTGGCTTGCGGTAAGTAAATCGATTTTTATTTTCAATAATTATTTTTTATATTAAAATATTTTTTTACTTTAACAGGGTTCCCACTGAACTGGATTTCCTGGAAAACCTGGAAAAGTCTCGGAATTCAGAAGTGGTCAGGGAAAGTCATGGATTTGAGTAAAATGTCTCAAAAGTCATGGAATTTGACCATTTTTCTATAAAAGTCATGGAATTTTTTTCCGATTCCTATAACAATGCGCAATACAAAATTTAAAATTTATAATACAAAAAATATTATTTATATATATTTCCAAAGCCGGTCCTGCAGTAAAAAACGTAAAAAATGTTAAAAATACAGCCCTAATTGTCAAGCGTTCTTTTTCTATAGTGTTGCTTATTGTCTCTAATAGGGGTCGCGTTTTGTCTGATGGTTTTTATGTTTATCTTAAGAAGAAGAAGAAGAAAGTTATCTAAAATGAATAACAAGGATTTATTCTATAAACAATGTCAAAGCAAACCAAAAATAAACAAACCTATTAAAAAAATGTAAAATTAACAAATTCAGTATCTGCGAAAAATGTTAAAAAAAGGTATCAATGATGAGGCGATGATGGCAAAATTGTCATTTTTTTTCTTATATTGCTGAGACTAAGTAACCATTTTTGACAAAATTTTAATCAAATGAACCTTTGGTTCCTTATTTATATACATATCTACAATTTGAATTATTACCCTGTTGGAAAAATTTGTTATGAAGGAAAAAATACCGAATGACCCGAAAAAATGGTTTAGTTTAAATTTGAAGAATTCTGAAATACTATTACCTGTTCAAAACATAGATGTTGTATTTGGAACACGAAGATATTTGTCAAAAATTACTACAAATGGAAATAGAGTTAAATTTTTCATGGAATGCCAACAATGTCTAAAATTTTGGAAAGGTGTTGCCTCAAATTTAGCATGGTCTTTAGATCCTTTATTAATTAATGGTGATGTCAAAAAAGCTGAAGATAGAATGAAAATAACTCTAGAAATTCTTTACGAAAAAAATATTATTAGCAGCGAAGAGGCTGATAACAGCCGGTTCCATAAATAACATCAAAAGGCTTCTTTGCGAAAAGCCTTAAAATCGTTCTTAAAGTGCGATCAGTTCCATAATGAAATTAAATCCTTCTTTAAGTAAGGATGGATCTTTAAAATATTGTTATGTTGGCGCCCCTAAAATTCCATTCGTGAAGATAGGTTCATGGGTGTATATGAACTATTTTTAAATTTTCAAGTAACATCCCATCATTTCTGTAATTTTGTATATTAACAATTTTTGTTATATAGTTTTATGCATTAAGTATAGTGTTTGTTTATTGGGTTAGCGTACTAAAAGAAGAAAATAACGGGCTTGTGTTAAATTGTGAAAGATGGATGTTCCAGGTGAGAAAAAAATTAAAAGAAAAAATGTTCCCCATTTTCAAAAGACAATGAAATGAGATTGCTAAAGGCAATTTATTTGGAGCGCCAGACAATTGAAAATAAGGAAACCAACAAAATTACCACTCAGGAAAAGGAAAAGGCTTGGGGCAGAGTAGCGGTCGCATTTAATGCGGCCTCAAACGAATACCGGAATACTGATCAACTAAAGTCAAAATTTGATAATTTAAAAACAAAAACAAGGAAAATTGTTGCCCACGAGAGAGCACATATACGAGGCACTGGTGGTGGTGCTCCGATCCCAATAACAAATGATCCTGTGACTGAGTTGGTACTTAAAATAATTAACATAGAAACAGTTGTTGGGTTGGAGAATATTCATGATTGCGACATGATTAATCATGTGGATAAAGTAATAAATGATAGAGAAGCAATCCAAACTGTAAAACCAAATTTCGAAAATATTCAATTCAATTTAAAAAATATAGACGTAATGTGGGAAACCAATAAAGCGGAAAAAGAAGTCGACAATGCTAAAATAATACTTTTGGCAACAGAGGAAATCAAAACTTCTCAGCCAATTTTGCAGGACGAAACAATTATTCCGTCAATTTCCAAAAAGGGTAAGAATAATAATTTTAAAGAGGAAGGGCAGACACCTAGAAGAAAAACTTCTATAAATAAGTGGGGTAATTATACCACAAGAAATTTACAGGAGCCCCTGAGCAGAAAACTCAGACCAACTACAATAAGCCCACTTGCCATTGCAAAAGAAGATTATTATATATAAAAAGCAAAATTGATTGAGGAGGAAATTCAATATAAAAAAGAGCAAAGTAGAAGAGAAGAGGAAGACCACAAACAAAAACAGATTCTATTAGAACTGGAAATTGAATTAAAAAAACATGAACTTTATAGAATTAAAGAAAACTTGTAAATGTAATAAAACTAAAATAAATGTTTTATTAATATTATTATTAGGTATTATTATAATTAAAAAAACAATGCAGCAAAAAAATCTATAAATTAGCAAATGTTCTGTAATAATTAATTGCTGAACATTTCATCACTTCATTATCTTCTAATGCGCCAATTTCTTCCAGGTTTTCAAACCACTCAGGGGGGAAAATGTCATTCATTTCTATGGCAATGTTATGTAACACAGCACTTGCTACAATCACAGTCATTATGGTTTCCAACTTTAGCCTCATCCCAAAAACACAGGAAATCTTCGTTTCCACACCCCATATTGTCTTTCGACGACATTTCGTGTTCTGATAATGGATTCATTATAGAGATTTTCTGCTTCAGTCTGCACAATATTTAATTTCGTCATAAGATAGGGTTCCAGATGGTAGCCACTATCCACCAAAAGGTAGTTCCCATAATTTCTTTCCACAAATTCCTGCTTTAATCTGCTATTGTTAAAAATGGTTTGATCGTGGCACGAGCCTGGCCATCGAGCCACTATATTCCTAATTTTTAATTGAGCATCACACACAGTCTGTACATTTAATGCAAAATATCCTTTTTGACAGCGATATATTTCTGCATCTCTACCTCCTATTGAATCTATAGAAATAAGTGAACAGTCTATAGCACCAATTACACGTGGAAATCTGGCCAACATATAAAAAGCTTGGGCAGCACTTTGCATTTCTTTATTTGTTTCAAACATTTTAACATACTGAGGACCTAGTGAAGCTATTGCTAATGAAACTCTTCTTACAATTCGGCATGTTGAGGTTTTTGAAATACCCATAAAATCACCAGCTGTTATTAAAAAGTTACCTATGGAATAAAACCTTAATGTTACAAGTAACTGCTCTGCTAGTTGGATGCAACCACCCCTGTGGAATATTTAACATACAATAAAACAGCTTATGAAATATATAAATAGGTACCCACCTATTTGTAGGGAGAGATATTAAAGGTGCTATTTGTTGAAGTAATGCTAGAACCGTAGCACGGTGGGATGACCTCCACCAAAAGTCGTAATTTGGAGTATCGAAAAATCATATTTTTGAAAAATGGAATGTATAGAAAAAACATTGATCTTTCAGATTCCTGAATTACAAATCAAAATAAAACTTACTTTAGAAGATACAGACCGTCAAAGTTTAACATTTTTTTTACTGTTTTAGTAAAAATAATGTTGGTGTTTGAAGCAATATATCTCAAAAAGTAATAAAGGTACAATATTAATTCAAATGCTGTTTTAAAGAGGAAAGTATGTTTTATATTGGGTACAAATTTGGTAGCATATAAATGTTTAATAATCACAGAATTTGTATTATAATAAAATGCAAAAATTTGGTAATTTTTTCCAATTTCACGGGAAAAAAGTCAAATCCGCCATTTTTCGCCATGGCCGATTAATTTCTTTTTTATATGAAAAGGTGTATAAATATGTTGCCAAGTTATACTGTTGCCACTTTTTGCCCATTTTCATAACTTCAAGATATTTCACTTTTACTGAACAAACGCGTAAGAAATTATACCTATATAGGTATACATGTACGTTGCGGCTGCGACCGTCAAACGCGTCTATGCCATTCATGCATTCGCCGAACTGAGTTCGGAATGTGTTGTTTTATTTTAAAATATTGTAAATAACACTATTGTCAAATTAGTAAATAAATACATTAAAAAGTTAACTTTTATTTTACCTTTGTTTAAGGGCCGGTATATTAAATTTACTTAAATATACCGGCCCTAATTCAAATAGAAAGAGGTAATTTATATTTTACCTGGTTTAATATGAATTAATTAGAATGATAATTAGTATTTACTAGAGACCCTTAATAAAACAGAGTTGGGACACGACTGTCAATGTCACGGTTCAGACATATATTTCCCTCTGCGTTTTTTAGGACACTTGGCCAGAAAAACAAAGAAGGACTTCTTCTATCCTTTTTGGTAACAATTTATTTTTTTGATAGGTAGTTTTAATTTTACAGGTTATATTTTTTGACAAATTTTATCATGAGCGTATTTTAAACAACATTATGGTTATTATAATTTTTAGGAAAATACTTATAATAAGGAGTAATTAAACTTCCCCTTGCTTGTTTGTAAAAAGTTAACGTAAATTAAATTGGGGTAAACTAAACCACTGTATTTTATTTCTTATAAACCTAGTACTCCCACGTATCATTCTTAAAGCAATGCATTTAATAAAACGTAAGTAAGTAAACAGCGTAGAGGTCCAAATTTGGGTAAGACGATCACGAGCCAAAGCCACAAAATATTTAATTTATCAATTTTTCATAAAACTTGTTTTAACTAACCTGGGGGTAAAGAGAAATCTTTACAATATATATTCTGGATATAGTGAATTAATTAAAAACATTTTTGATCACAATGAATTCAATTCTTTGTGTGAATTTGTTGAGAACAATTATTTCATGGGCAACAAAATGACTGATAAGCAAGTGGAAAAGTTAATTCGTTTTTTTTTAGAAACGTTAAGGACCGACTTGGAAAGGTTAGCCGTTGTAAAACTAAGTTTTACGAAAAATTTAAGGAATGGGTAAACAATTCTTTGGATTTTAAGGAACCCATCACACCCGAAGCATTGTTTAGCACACCCAAGCGATCTGAGAGAATATGGACACCTCAGGGGCAGCAAGGGAGATTCCGTTTTCCAATGAAGAAGCTTTGGCTTTATTTTTGGATTTAAAGTTATCCAAAGCTCAGTACCTAAAGTTGCGAAAAGCAGCTTTGGCGCATAATTCGAAGTTATTTCCATCTTATGAACACATTCGAGAGACTAAACTCCAGTGTTTTCCAAATGATATCCAAATTAGCGAAACTGGTGCGGCTGTAAATAAAAGACGACCAAGGATCAATATTTTGGACCAACAAACAGCCATCATCCACCAAATTTTGCAGACCGATTTCTTTTGAATATGTCAAGGAAACCCCGGAAGTAACAAAGAAATACGTGGAGGACATCAACGACCAAATATTGAACTTACAAGAATTCACAGCACACAAGGACGATAAAATATTTAGGATAAAATATAATCATAAGAAAAAATTGAACCTACACACACCTCGCCAAAGTTTTTTGTTTTGAATGCGTTCCACCTACTTCAAATACCGACAATTTTTTCTTATGAATATTACCAGTGATGGATCCAAGAAAGTTTCTTAAAGAAACTAAGAAAATTGAATATAATCTTTTATCAACCATGGTGGATGGAAAGGTTGTACAGGTGATGACAAATACATCATCATCGGCATGTTGTCCAATTTGCAAGGCGAGTCCAAAGGACATACATGAACATTTTGACAAAAATCTCACAAAGGACCATTTCTCAGGAGGCACTGCAATATGGACTTTCCAGTCTGCACGCATGGATATCCAAATTAAATGTTGGTCAGCCAGAACGGAGGAACACAAAACTTATAAAAAACAAGGAAAAAAAACGAATCCAGGAAGAATTTAGGACACAGACTGGTCTTCTAATAGACATGCCCAAACAGGGGTCTGGGAATACCAACGATGGTAATACCGCCAGAAGATTTTTCCAAGATCCGGAACTGACTGCTTCCATCACCAAGGTGGATGTGGAGCTGATAAGGAAATTTGCGACAATTTTAAAAGCTTTGGCCTCGGGCAGAGAAATTAATGGGGACATGTTTGAGGCATATGCAATGGAAACACCGAGCTTTTTGTGTCCCTCTATAATTGGTTCTATATGCCATCGTCAGTAGGGTGAGCCAAAAAAACTAACCTATCGGATTTATGGGTTAAAATGAACCTACATACCGAGCAAAAAATTTCCCTGCAAGGCAAAATTTTTTGCTCAATTTTAAAAGGTGTCGGTGAGCATTCGAAGTTTTCCATTGAAATAACACGTAAAAAAATCTTTTTTCATTAAAAAGACTATAACTTTTGAACCGTTTGAGATAAAGTTTTTTACGTCGCGGATTCTTGTAGAGCATAAAATTTTCCAAAGAATCTATACCAGGATTATTTTTTTAATTCAAAAATTCGTATGTTTGAAAGCTTTGAAAAGTGTAAAAAATCACTAAGACTGCATTTCTCAGGAGGCACTGCAATATGGACTTTCCAGTCTGCACGCATGGATATCCAAATTAAATGTTGGTCAGCCAGAACGGAGGAACACAAACTTATAAAAAACAAGGAAAAAAAACGAATCCAGGAAGAATTTAGGACACAGACTGGTCTTCTAATAGACATGCCCAAACAGGGGTCTGGGAATACCAACGATGGTAATACCGCCAGAAGATTTTTCCAAGATCCGGAACTGACTGCTTCCATCACCAAGGTGGATGTGGAGCTGATAAGGAGATTTGCGACAATTTTAAAAGCTTTGGCCTCGGGCAGAGAAATTAATGGGGACATGTTTGAGGCATATGCAATGGAAACACCGAGCTTTTTGTGTCCCTCTATAATTGGTTCTATATGCCATCGTCAGTAGGGTGAGCCAAAAAAACTAACCTATCGGATTTATGGGTTAAAATGAACCTACATACCGAGCAAAAATTTCCCTGCAAGGCAAAATTTTTTGCTCAATTTTAAAAGGTGTCGGTGAGCATTCGAAGTTTTCCATTGAAATAACACGTAAAAAAATCTTTTTTCATTAAAAAGACTATAACTTTTGAACAGTTTGAGATAAAGTTTTTTACGTCGCGGATTCTTGTAGAGCATAAAATTTTCCAAAGAATCTATACCAGGATTATTTTTTTAATTCAAAAATTCGTATGTTTGAAAGCTTTGAAAAGTGTAAAAAATCACTAAGACTGCAGTTTTAGTGA